CTCCTCCCAGTGTCGTCCTGAATGCACACATCTAGGTTGACGCTCAGGAGTCTGGCTGGGATTGTACCACTGAAATCAAATCCAAGAGGATCACTGTTGTGCTATAGTAACACCCAGAGGTTCCTGCAGAGATGGGAGCCTCCCTGGCATGCAGCAAGTTGCAATCCCTGCCCCAAAGCAGATGCAATGCAGAGAGCAGGAGACACCGATAAATGAAGCAACATGTCCAAGGCACACTATCAGTGGCAGAGCCTAGAACAGCTCTGACGCTTCCCAGGCCCCGGGCCACTGTCCAGACCACTGACACCGCCCACACAAAATATCCCAGGCAAGATGCAGAGGAAGCAGCTTCTGTTTCTAGTGTCCTGGACACTTGGAGTTTTAGCTGAGGCAGAACGGAGAAAGCCTAAAACATATGATGGGCTGGGTCTGTCCTGTACCCCATCAACTCAGGGTGGATGACAGCAGCCTAGAATTGCCTGGCAGGGTCCTAACAAGGGGTTCACCACTTTAGAAACAGCAAGCAGTGCTTAGAGGTGCCCTAGCAGCAAGGGAAACTGGAACGCACCAAGATTTAGAAACTTCTTTGCCTTTGAAAGCAACCTTCATACCCCCTAAAAGAGGATGGAGCTTAAAACCAGGGGACTGCAAGGGCAGGACATCCCACACCCTGAAGGCCATAGAAACCAACCTGCAGGCTCTTGGTCCAGAATCCTGGGGGCTGCAAGCAGCCTGCAAGCTGAACAGGGCCGACCAGGCGAGGCCTAATAAGGAAACGTTCCTCCAACCCGGCCAGCGGGCCTTCCTTGCAGCTGGTATCCCTGCAGGCTGGGATGGAAGCCAGGCACTGACAGAGAGCAGGCCCCCAGCCAGAGGATGCTACCAGGAATTTCAGGCATCCCACTGTGCTAGGGGCTCCTGGCTCTGCCACCCTTGCTTCCCCGCTGCTCAGCTCTGACAGCAGCAGCAGGGAGGGTGACGGTGGCTGCAGGGATGCCTGGAGATGGGCTGGGAAGTGCCCCACGTTGGGTGGATATACAGCTGCAAGGAAGGAAAGCTTTAGTGGATATCATGCTGGGACACTCTGCAAATGGCTCATGCTGGACTGCATGTGATCGGAGGTTTAAGAAACCCAGGCAGATCTTGTACTGAAGGGATGGAAACCGCATCCCAGCTGCAACTGGCAAAAGGCTGAAAGGGTGGTTCACACACATGACACGAGATGCAGGAGATCTGGGTTCGGTTCCTACCTCTGCCCCAGCATTTTCAGGTCCTCCCCATTGCATCTGGGAGAACCATGAATAATTGTGAGTGACCAGCTAGTGGCAAAGGCCAGCTACATACTCAGACCAGGTAGAGAGAAACAGGGGGAAAAACCCTGGTCATATCCAGTTCACTCTCCCTTTCAGCATCCGCTCCCTGCCACTTTGATGCAGGAGACTGGGCAAGACAGAACTACAGTCAGAGCAAGTAAATGGCAATTCTTCTGTTCTTAGGTTAACACAGCCCAGCTGCTGTCCCAGATGACTTAATGCAGTAGAAACATGTTGTTAGAACAGTGGCTGAGGCATCTAACTTGAAGCCAAACAAACTTCCTGCAGGCCATGAGTCCAAAAATTGTTAGACAAAGCTACCCCAGTCATCCATGGGTTTCAAATAGTTGCACTGAAGCAAATACATATGGGATGCTGTTCTTCCAGCTCGAGGGCATTTGGATCACAGTGTCATATTTCTCTCTGCCACAAGTGCAAAGACTTATTTTCCAGTAAGCCAACACTGAGAGTCTCACACATCCACAGGACCCCTGGTGCCAGTGCTTTAACCCACGAGAGTCCTTATCACGCATGCTGACAGTGATAGCATTGCAACAAAGCCATTTGGTTTTCTTTGCACTAAGAGTTCAGAGCAAGATATTGGGTAACCACATAAGGGAAGCTCCTGCATTTCTGCAAGCTGGTAAATGAATGCTTCAGGTGGGAAAAATTAAGGTAAAACCCAAACTACAGGTCTGTCCAAGACCCCTTGGCTGGGGCTGGGTTGATCATCACAGGATGTAACAACTCATAATGCTGAGTCTCAGCCACCAAAAAACTGTCCAGCTGTCAGTGGGGTGGGAAAGAAATGGACTTTACCGCATTCATGTCCTTTGCTGGCTTGTTGGGAGGTCTCCTCTGGGTTTGCTGGAGGTACCTCCTCTCCGGGTCTTACTTCAACCCCCTTCTCCTCAAAACAGGAGCAAGAAATGTTCTTACTGTCTCCAGTAAGCAGCTATGCTTCACTGTCAGCTGGCACCTCAGAACAACCATGCAATGGGGAGGCAAGGAACAACCCTCATCACCCAGCTGGTCATAAAAAGACAGGCTTCTCTAAGTGATCCCAGGCCACACCTGTGCTTTGAAGCCAGAACTGCGCCACAGTTGCACACACCTTGATGAGAATGATCCTAATACCCTGCCTGATGGGGAGAAGACTAAAGACACTCCACCTGTTTAGACTGTCAAGGAGGTGACAACTTACAAACAGGCACCCTGGGAATGGGACCCCATTCTCCATCTCTTGCAGTCAGAGGCAAGACTGGACACTACAGAGATGAACCACAGCTCAGAGGACACGGGATTCCCATAGAATGTCTCGCACGCTATTTTCTAACCTCTGTTAGGATCCCTTTAGGCCTTAAAAACCAACGTCTCTCCACAACCTGGTTCCCGTGGACTTTTTACCTGTTCTGAGAAAAATCATTATTTAGGTAGGAGACAGCCCTTAGATACAACAGTGCAACAAGAACAAATCCTTCAGGCTTCGTAAAGAAGCATAGGGAAGGAACCTCCCTTGCTATGGTTTGCCTCCTGACTTCAGGTTCCTTCTGCTCCTCTCTGCTATGGCCTCTGTGATGTTCCCATGATATTCTGTCACCACAGAAGCAACCGCTGTGGTGGCTACTTGGATGTTGCGTGATAGGAAGGGGTGGTGTCTACAGGGCAACATCTCTGCAGATGTGCGCTTCCACCTGATAAGCCAGGTGGAGAAACTCCAGGCTACACATTCAGAAGCTGAATTTCCTCCTCACCCGACAGATGTAGGCACATGAATGGAATTCTTTGGGATATTAAAAAATTCAAATCAATTAGTTCTTAACTGTGACATACAACCTCTATATGGCAGATGCTCTGCCTCGAACCTCCTACCATCCACCTTGAGAGATTTCTGGAGGGTTCATCATCAAGGAGCATCCAAGGACCAGATTCAGACCCCTTACTCCCTCTGAATATTAAGTTACTCCATCAGTAGGTCTCCTGAATTCATATATAGCAACTTGTGGAATAAAGCTCTATTAAAAATTGTGCATCCACAGGTGCATCTCTAGCAGGGCCAAGGAGGTGATCCTCCCCCTCTACGTGACACTGGTCAGGCCACAGCTGGAGTACTGCGTCCAGTTCTGTGCGCCCCACTTCAGGAGGGATGTGGACAACAGGGCAGACCCTACAATGAGAGACTGTGGGACCTGAACCTGTTCAGCCTTCGCAAGAGAAGGCTGAGGGAGGACCTGGTGACCATCTACAAACTCACTAAGGGGGACCAGAAGGGTTTGGGGGAGACCTTGTTTCCCCTAGCGCCCCCTGGCATAACAAGGACTAATGGCCATAAGCTGTTGGAGAGTAGGTTTAGATTAGACATCCGTAAGAACTATTTCACAGTCAGGACGGCTAGGATCTGGAACCAACTTCCAAGGGAAGTGGTGCTGGCTCCTACCCTGGGGGTCTTTAAGAAGAGGCTTGATGCCTACCTGGCTAGAGTCATTTGAGCCCAGTTTTTCTTCTACCCAGGCAGGGGGTCGGACTTGAAGATCTACAAGGTCCCTTCAACCCTACTTCTATGATTCTATGATAAAAAGCAAGTGGAAAAATAAAAGGACTCTGCCCAATGCATTTTCCAATTGAGATCCCTACAGTAAGGTCCACAAAGGTTTCCAGTTACCTATTTTTTTTCTTCTGATGTCAGGACCCTCTATAGCACTGGTTCTCAACCATGAGGTATCAAAATCCTTGCAAATATGCCCTACAATGTCAGGTGCGCAAACGCGATTCACAAGATGAAACCAGTTTTCACATAGCAATCGGTAGTGTTAAAAACATTCCAACCTACTGCAATCTTTCTAAATTCTTCACAACAGAAAAATGGTATTTTACTGCAATCAAAAAAAAAGTGAAAACGAAGAGCTGACATTTTCCAGGGGGGACCTCAAGTCTAACAAGGTAGAGAACCACTGCTTTATAAGTCTTCAAGGCAGGACTCCAGGGTCTGTCCCTGATATGGGACTGGGGGCAAGAGACTCCCATGCCTATGAAATGAGAATCCCAATCCCTTTGTAAAGCACTCAGATCCCTGGTCAAAAACAGCTCAGTCAAAGCAAAACAAAACAAAAGGCAAGATAATATAACTGATCTGTATTAAACTGTACAACGAAGAGTCTGTCCACCAAACATTACGCAGCAATCCATTTGGGTAGGGGCATGTTACACACCTATTCCAGATGACCTTCCCCCCACCATGTGGGTATGTGTTGGTACATGAACAAAACACCAAATGCGGGAGGCCAAGCCCTTTATAGAAATGTCACTTGCTCAAAGGCAAAAGCCACTGCTCTGAGCCACAAGTCAGGCTTGCTAACATTTCATACTGATTACCCATTTAATATCAGAGTTTCAAGGTAATGCAAGTTATGAAGGGGGAATGCACAAAGATACCTGCTTTTCCCTGGCTTCCTTCAAGACCGATGGATACTTGACATAGACAGCAGCAAAGATTGGGGCGGGGGGGGGGGGATATGATTGGGATCTGACACGACCAACACGGATGATGCATTATTCGTTCACCCAGCAAAACAGGCCTTTGCAAACAACCCTCAGGACTTATGGGGATGGTGAATTTTGGCAAGTGAAAAATCAGAGGAAATGTCAGAGCAGCAACAAGGGGGGCTTGGGGATGACACTTCAAGGCATAATGAATACTTAAGTGGGAGACTGTCCTCAGGAGAAGCCAAAAGGCAAGAGGAGAGCTTATGAACTTGGACTCCAGCAGACAGGAACTGCATGCAAGTGTGGCCCAGACACCCTAGGGCTGAGGTACAAGGTCTGAATCCCACCTCTGCCATTTCCCACACCCTAAGACTGTGCTCTGCCCGCTCCTGACAGACTTGAACTTTGCAGCTGGCCCCATCGGAGAACAACTGATTCTGGCATGGCTCCAACACCATTTATCTGGCCAGACAAGTTTGGGATGCTCTCCTCTAACTGCTGGAGAGCTGCACTGCTGCTAGTAGAGCTTTGTATTCATAACTCCTTGAAGCTCTGAAGACACGTTACAGTCCCATCATCCTTAAACTATGGATGAGAGAAAAAAAGGCAAGCCACTATACAAAGCCTCCTGACTCCCAGTACAGTACCCAGTTCATCAGACCCTGCTAAATTACATTATGCTCCCACAGTGGGGATACCCTGTTACTGAGGGAGGCCACTGTTAGACTCATGCCAGTGCCCTCTCAGCCGTACCGCTGCCAGATGTTACCAAGTGTTTTGGGAAAAAGATGCGAATTCTTTGACAAACCTTCTATAGAACTGACAGCACAACCCAAGACACAGAAACTTGAGTAGCAAAGGAGAACCCAATGTTGCTGTCTTCCCCTTCACATGGCCATAGTTGATAGAGCAGATACAGTAATAAAATAAGAACATCACATCCATCTCCATCTATCATTCAGCACCATGAAACCATTTTGCCCCTGTTTGTCGCAGCAAATAGCAATTGAAGCCAGGTTCCTCAATCCATTGTACCAACACCACTTGGTTATCTCAGGGTGTCAAATTTCTATCAAGCTGTTGGGATCGTTTCCTCTTCCCAAATCAAATCAATGAAGCACTAGGTTAGGGAAAGATTAAGTGAGACTCAGACACAAGGACCTTTTCACTCCACACACTGCATATGGAACAGCTTGGAGACACAGACCCTGGAACTCCTGGTGTTAACAGGACCTTGGTGAAAGTGAAAAAACAGGCTAAGAGAAGGATGCTGTGGGTTTGATCTAAAGTGAAGGGAAAGGCCCAAAGCTTTGCCAACAAGTAACAGAGGCAACAAAAAACAAAAAAAACCCCAGGAGATGAATTTTCAGTGCTCCTCATTTGGAAAGTGCTTCCCTCTCGAAGGCTCCTCAGTCCCAGTTCTGGAGTCTGGAGGACAGTTCCTTGCATAAAACCCCTCAGGATGCATTTGCTGAACAGCCAAGTATTAAAGTTAAATCCATTTAGTGTTAGGTTTTGTTTTTTTTAGCAATCCTAGGTTAATATTTCCTCACATCTTGAGCCCCTTGCAAGACACAGTGCAGGACGCCAAGTTCTCAGAAGCACCCAGCAGAGTCAAATTAACGATTTCACTGAAACTACCGGGATACCAATGGCTATGGGAGGTGTGATCCCCTAGGATGAAGAGGAAGGTAGCTGCTTTCCAGTAAACCGACAAGTTAAGGCAAGAGGGCTATCGTAGATCCATCACTGCCACGTCCCGCTCCATCACTGTGATGTGACTGCAGGTCTGGAAGAGAGAGGTGAGGGAAAACAGAAAAGTGATTCACATGCCCCCTTGACGCCATTTCACTGAACCTGCCATGAGCTGCTTGTATGGGCCAGAGGTCTCTGAATCCCACTCTACCACAGACATCTCTGTCAAGCATAGAAATGTATTAGCCACTCCATACAGAGGAGCAACGGAGACTCAGGGCAGATGAAGGGATGTGACAAAGGTCACATGGAGAGTCAGTAGCCATGCCAGGAGCTGAGCTCAGGACCTCTCTGCTCCAAATCCTGTGAGAAACCATTAGTCCTACGTCCTTCCCCAAGCAGGATAGGAAGGCATCTGTCATCAATAGCCCAAGCATTAGGCAAATTCAAGCAGCACTGGCACTTTTATTTTATACCTGGGGAGCTGAGGCAGATAGAGAAATGGGTAGCTCAGCAACTCATTGGCATGGCTGGGGGCAAGACATGGGTGCTCCAATTCCAGTGCCCACCAAGCACTGTGGCACCCACTGTTCCTTTAAGGGCCCATTCAATGTTTGACACAGGCACAGGGCTTGCAGGTGAATCTCCTCCAGGTACCAACAGGGCTTGCCTCCCTCTCAGCATGTAGGACACTCAGCCTTCCATGTTCCAAGGGCCTTCCCACAGCATCCCAGTAGAGCCCTTCACCAGCGGGGACGCCATGGTACACAGAGGCAAAAGTACTCACCTAAGGCCACAGGAACCTGGTCCCCAGCCCCACCTGTGCATCACCTAAGCCAGGCTGCCTCTTATACCCCCAGGCTCATGCATTACTTTCCTTCCAGGTCTCAGGGTCTGGCCCTTCAGCGCAGCTAAAAAAACACCAGTAATGCAACAAACAGGCTGAACGAGCTGCAGTTCTCAGTGACCTTTCTCCTTTGCTACTTACCGTGAAGAGCGGAGGATCTTTGGAGTGTGGGTGGAACCCCTTCTGCCTGCAAGATGAGATCTCCTCCAGGCCGTGGTCCGTCAGCTTGAAGAACCCCGTTCTAAGGAGAGAAGATACTTTCTTAACTGCCTGGACCTCCTAAGAAAAGCTGGCTGCTTCAACTGGACTACCCCAACCTATTCCATGATTTCTCATTCTGCTTCTGCCTTAGCAGGTCAACCCACATATCAGGTGCCTTACAATAATACCCAGGGACCCCAAGTGAAGTCAGGGCTCCACTGTGCTAGGTGCTGTACAAATCCATCTGCCGAGCTCTCCAGCATACACAAACAAGACAAGAGAAGAATTGCCCTCCTATTACACGTGGGAAACTGAGGCACAGAGGCTTGAAGTAGCTTGCCCATGGTTATACAGTGAAGTCAGTGGAAGAGCTGGAAACTGAATCAAACCTTGACCTCCCTGATCCCAGCCTTCCCACATTAGATTCAATCCCATTATACAGATCTGTTCGAGTGATCCAAGAGCAAGTATTACTACGGGCTTTGTGAAGCTAGTGACAGACATATGTGCATCGTTTGTACCCATACTTAGGGGTGGGATTTTACACTGCCCTGTTACACCAACATAAAGATGCTTGTAGCTACAGCCCTGGAGAGCTGTACTGATATTTTTGTACTTGAACCATCAGAACCTTCCAGGGTTGGGGTTTAGACCTGGTTAAAGTTCCAGAAGTGCTTCTGAAAGACCCGCCTTTTGCTCTAACTCCAAGACACGCTTCCAAAGCCCACCCCTGCCCATACTTACTCTTGGTATTTTGGTGAACACACAATCGCTATAGACTCAGGCAGCATCATCTGATAGGAGCAGTGTGTGTGCAGGTCCACGCTGGACAGGAACGCCGTCTGGGTAGGGTGAGTCTACAGGGGGAGGAACCAGTGAAATCCGGTGCCAAGGGAGGTGTTCCATGTGGCTACAGTTGCTGACAGGGAGGGAGGATCTCCAAGGGTAGGGGCTTATTTTATTTTATTTTTTTTACCAGGACACAGACTACCCAAGGGGCCCTGCTTCAGATTGCAGTGGTTCCCACAAGAGGGCCTGACGGAGGGGGGGCAGGGGTCAGCAGGGGTGCTGGTGAGGCCATGGTATGTGAGCCACAGATTGCAACAAGCCCTGTACAACAACTTCACAGAGCTTCCAATAGCAGTTTGATGACAAGGAACAATGATAATCAGCAGGGAAGTCTGAGCATTGGCTGTGCTCTGTTCAGCCAACGTCTGGGTGCCACAGCCTGACCATACTGAAGAAGAAGGCAATCTCCTTACAAAGCTATCCTCCTCACCCACAAAAAGGCCTTTTCTTTCTCTGCTCAAAACAGGCCAAGGGCACGGTTGTGGCACTCACGTGGATCCAGCCCAGTGTGACGAGACTGTGCTGATCCTGGATGAGGAAGAGCTCCTCCTCATTCTCCGTGTTGCAGTAGTCAGGGCCTCCATACTGCTTAGGAATGATGACATGCGTGATTGTGAACTCATTCATCATCTGGAAGACAAGACAGAGAGGGGCCTTGGTGCTTCTGGACCCAGCAAAGCCAACCGTGCTAGAGCGTCACAAGAAGGCAAAGCTGGGCTCTCATGCTTCTGGGGCATTGCTTTGCATTGTTGCTTGTATTGCACAAGGGTCCAGGTCTGGTCTTTAAGGCAGCACTAGAACAGGGGCACATTGGCCACACGGTGCTTGAGAAGCTACAAAGCTGCCAGGTCCCCAGTATGGAAAGCAGCTCAGCCCAGCCATTGAGTGCCCTGTGTAGCTGCCAGCCACCGGGTCAGCACAATCTCTGGGATCTAAGAAGGGTCACTATACTTTGGTCCCAAAGGACACAGAGGTCTTCCAGCATTGGGAAACTCTGGAGGAGACATCCCAAGATGGAGGAGTGAAAGAATCCTCTTTTGTTAACATGGAAACCCAACAGTGTGCAATACCTGCTTCTTACGCGTCACCCTACCTGTGCCAGAACTGACAACTACCCAGCCTCTAGCAAATCCAAGAACTGAAGGAACAGGGTCTGTGGAGGGTAGCACCTTACCAGCTTCCCACAGAGGATCCCACATGTCTCCACACCCTTGGCTGTGTTGGCATCAGCGAGCTGGAGGAATTTGTGGCACAGCTCCTTGGGAATGGTGACATGGCGAAGGCCATCGATAGTCACATCTGGGAGGGACAGAAGGAATAGAAATGAATATAAGGCCAGATCTGTTGTGGCCTCCATCAAAAAGGGCTGTGCGCGGTCAATTTTTAAAGTGGGGTGGAGAGGGGCAAGTTATATCAGACCCCCCCAAACTGAGGAGCAGAGATTTAAAGTAAAAGCTATATACTTAAAATACAGCACTCCTCAAGAGAAGGCTGGCATGACTATACCCATTTCCGAGCCAGGGAAAGGACAGACTTTCTGAAGGACATGTGGGTTAGTGATGGAATCAAGAATGTTCCTCATGAGCTCCGGCTCCAGCCCAGCACTCTGTTGGATCTTTGTTCCCAAACTCCAGGTATAAATGATGTAACTGGCCTCTCTAGAGATGGATGCATCCAAACAAGTGTCTACACCCAAGTTCTTTATAATGGCATTTAATTTTCATTTGAGAAGTAATGCTGGTCATGATGGAGCACTGATCAAGTGACCCCATCAGCACAGAGCACGAAAGCCAGGCGGCGGGACTGACCAGCCCAGTAAAACACTTACTGTGCTCTTCCTTCTGACAGCATCACCAAAGCCTGGCCATGCCTCAACACTGGGGCTACTACGAGGCAACAGCACGTAAAGGAGTGATAGAGCCATCATTACCCTGATGCCTCCAGATCCAGCAGCCTTGTTGACCAGGGGTTGGCTTAGAGTTGGATCATTTAGGGGCAGCCTTTGGTCCAGGTCTGGAGCATGGCTTAAATTCACCCTCTGGAGTGAGAGCTGTTCTGAAACCATATCACCCCCAAAGGTGGATGAGGGAAGAATAAATCAAGGGACAAGTCAGCCCTGACCCAGATCCCCATCCTGATTACCAATTTCTGACCTCCATCAGCACCCAGCCCTTGCCCTGAATTTGGCTCTTGATATTAAAAGTTCAGACAAGCTCCTGAGGTGCTCAAAGGGCATCAGCCCTACAGGGAGTTAAGCACTGCCCTCCCACCTCCCCAGCTAGGTTCAAGAATCAGTAGCACTGACACAGGATAATGAATTCCAAGAGATACTAACTGTTCTGCAGGGTCCCCAAAGCTCCAGGCTTCAATGATCTGTCCACAGCAGGAGGCTTGGGCAAAGTGCCTTGGTTTGAGGGAGGAACGGGAAGGATGCCAATCTTTGGTGTTAGGTCAGTGGGAGGCTTTTCCACACCAGGGATCAGGGGTCCCTCTGGGCTGGGTTCAGCCTTCCCAAATTCCTGCACGATTTTCAGTCGCTCTTTCTCCAGCTCCTTCCGTCGGATCATCTCCTCAAAAGCATGGAACTGCTCCTGCTCTGCCTGTTGCTGCTTCATCAGGGCCACTCGCTGCCTCTCCTCCTCCAGCTGCTGCTGCAAGGCGAGGTTCCGTGCAAAGTCCTCCTCCTCCTTCTTCTGCAAAGAGAAACATAGGTGGAAGGACATCAGGACAGGACCCTATCTGGCCATGTCACGTGACAAATGAGCTATGTCCTTGCACCACTGATCCCTCAGATGGGCCCTTCCTCAGCCAAAATCATCCCTGAAACTATTTATCCACACACAGGGTAAAGTCACCCAGGAACACGTTCATGACTTATGAGAAAAGGCTGAAAGCACTAGGGTTACTTATTCCGGAGAAGACAAGACTGAGGAGGGATTTGATTAACTGCCTTTGTATCCCTGAACAGGGATTACGAAGAGAATGGAGATAGGCTTTTCTCTGTGGCTACAGGGGACAGGACTAGGAGCAATGGCCTCAAGCTGAAGTAGGGGAAATTTCGGTTGGCAATGAGGAGGAATTTTCTGACTCTAAGGGTGGTCAAGCATGTGAACACCCTGTTTAGAGAGACTGTGGATTCTCCATGCTTGGAAACTTTCAAAAGCAGGTTAGACAGACACTTGGCTGGCCTGGTTTAGTCAGGGGACTGGACTAGATGATCTTGTGAGGTCCCTTCCTGCCCTATTTTCCTAAGATGGTAGGAATCATAGGAAAGTCAGGCTGGAAAGGACCTCACAAGGTCATGTAGTTCAGCCCCCTGCTCAAGACAAAATCATCCTCAACTATACATTACATGCCTACAAGATAAGGCTTCTGACAGATAGGATCCAAGAGCTTCCATCTTTGTCTGCCTTCTGTTGCCTGCTGCCTTTCTGAATGGCAAAGCCAGAGACCTTACATGGGGTTAGGACACAGGCTAGTGAGGGCAGGGTGGGCATGAACATCAACAGGACAGAAACCTTATTGAGGATGCAGGAACAAATTATCTCGATGGGCAGAAAGAATAGCAAAAGTGGCAGCTGACCATCTTAGCTTAGCAGAGAGCTCTTCAATAAGCTTAAACACAACAAGGAAGCTTACAAGAAATGGGAGCTTAGACAAACAACCTGGGATATAAAAATACTGCTGGGGCATGCAGGGATGAAGCCAGGAAGGCCAAAGGCACAACTAGAGTTGCAACTAGCAAAGGATGTGATGGATAACAAGAAGGGTTTCTACAAGTATGTCAGCAACAAGAGGAAATTCAAGGAAAGTGTGGGTCCCTTACTGAATGGGGGAGGCAACCTAGTGACAGATGACAAGGAAAAGGCTGAAGTACTCAATGCCTTCTTTACCTTGGTCTTCAGAGGCAAGGTCAGCTTCCAGACTACTGCACTGGGCAGCACAGTTTGGAGAGAAGGTGAGCAGCCCTCAGTGATGAAAGAGCAGATTAGGGATTATTTAGAAGAGACGGGTGTGTACAAGTCCATGGGGCCAAATGCAATGCAGCTGAGGGTGCTGAGGGAATTGGCTGATGTGACTGCAGCACCGCTGGCCTTTATCTCTGAAAACTCATGGTATTTGGGGGGAGATCCCAGATTACTGGACACAGCCAAATATAGTGCCCATCTTTAAGAAAGGGAACAAGGAGGATCCAGGAAACTACAGACCAGTCAGCCTCACTTCAGTCCCTACAAAAATCATGGAGTAGGTCCTCAAAGAATCCATTTCTAAGCACTTCAAGGAGAAGGTGATTAGGAACAGTCATGCCTGACCAACCTGACTTTAGAAAGGCTTTTGCTACAGTCTCCCACAGCATTCTTACAAGCAAGGTGAAGAAGCATAGGTTGGATGAATGCACTTTCAAGTGGATAGAAAGCTGGCTGGAGTGTTGGGCTTAACGGGTAGTAATCAATGGCTCAATGTTTAGCTGGCAGCTAGTATCAAGTGGAGTGCCCCAGGGGTCAGTTCTGGGGCTGATTTTCTTCAGTATCTTCATTAACTATCTGGAAGATGGGATGGATTGCACCCTCAGAAAGTTTCTGGATGACACCAAGCTGGGGAGTATAGAGACCTAGACTAATTGGAGGACTGGGCCAAAAGAAATCTTATGAGGTTCAACAAGGACAAGTGCCAAGTCCTACACTTAGAACAGAACAATCCCATGCACTGGTGCAGGCCGGGGACTGACTAGCTGGACAGCAGCTCTGCAGAAAAGGACCCAGAGGTTACAGTGGACAATAAGCTGGATATGAGTCAGCAGTGTCCCCTTGTTGCCAAGAAGGGTAACAGCATACTGGGCTGCATTGGCAGGTGTGTTGCCAGTAGGTCAAGGGAAGTGATTGTTCCCCTGTATCTGGCACTGGTGAGGCCACATCTGGAGTTCTGTGGCCAGTTTTGGGCCCCTCATTACAGTACGGATGTGGACAAGTTGGAGAGTCCAGCAGAGGGCAATGAAAACAGTTAGGGGGCCGAGGCACATGACTTCTGAGGAGAGGCTCAGGGAACCGGGATTTTTAGTTTGCATAAGAGATTTTATGGATGCAAATGAGCTAACTGCCTCTCTGGGACCTGGAGACATCTGAGTTTGGATTCCAAGAATATTTTTTATTTTTCCCTTCCTTTACTATTTTTTGCCCTGGAAGGTTTGTAGAGTTAATGC